TTCATCACACTTCCAATTCACATTCTGGTAGTGATCAAGTTCTTTCCATATCGATGTCAAATCAGAATAGTACATCGAGAGACTCCTCTCCCCTGCTTGCAAGTAGAGGATTTAGCTTGCAGTTGGTATATCTTGGCATAGTGTCTCTGCTTTGAATAGGTGGACTTTGCTTGTTCCCATATCTCACAAGCAGTTTCAGCCCACATAAATGTCTTCCTTACCTGTGGCAACATGGAAACCAAGAGCCACAACATCACCATACTATTCTCTTGGTTYCACCTATCATATTCAACACTTCTGTTATTCGGTTCCTTCACTCTCCCATTAACGTATCCTATTTTCCCCCTAGCAATGATGTAGAGTTTTATTCCCCTAGACCACTCAAGGTAATTCAGACCATTAAAGGGAATAACAGCCATGGGGAAATTCATATCCATTCTCCCACTCACTCCATTGTGGCTCCCTGAAATCTCTAAAGTAGCAGAATTCTCAGACGACATGGTAAACACAGAGTTTTTTTTATCTAAACTCTCAACTTAGGATCCCTCCTTATATCGACAAAAACTCCACACACAACAATTCAGTTCTGGACTTGATCTGAGCACAAAAAACAGCACCAATTTCCAAAGAAGAACTATGACAAGACTAATTTTCAGATCTGCATGAAGAACAATCCCAACCTACTGGTTTCCAGTAAGTTCCACAACAATAATCAATAAGAGAGATCCTAACACACATGAAATCACAGGTACAGGATCACACGATCCAACAAATAAAAGAGGTATAACCCTCACAAAAGTCTGTCGACATTCAGTGGTTTGGATTCATTTGTTCTCCACTTGGTACACGACCAAGGAAAGAAATAAAAGAAGAAAGAAAMCTTTAGGGTTGTACCAGTTGCAGATCTGATTTGATCCGCCCAGATTCAATCCTCTATTCCGCCCAGATTCAGCAACTTGAAGAGAAAACTTGGTCGCCCAAATTCAACAACCTGGCTTTGTTACCATCTTAGCAATAAATCCGATTGAAATATGAGGAAGTAGAGAAGAGAAGGGAAGAAGAGAGAAGAGAAGAAGAAAGAAAGGAAGAAGAAAAGGTTTGGAGCAATGGAACAGTGCTGGCGGCGCCAACTTCTATTTTATTATATAGGGTGACAGAAATAAGAAGGGAAAAGAGTTCTGTGCCCCTGCTGTAAGTGAAGTACAATAACAAGAAATAAAAAAAAGCTTTAACTAGCCAAACAGACCCTAACACAAAAACTAAATTATTTCAACAGTTCCCATAAGAAGTGCCTCATCAGTTTCTCCAACCTTTTCTCCCTTTTAGGAATTCTAAAGACTGCCAGGAAGTATAAAGGCAAGTTGGCTAAAGTTGCTTTAATCAAAGTAACTCTACCACCCACGGAGATGTAGTTCTTCTTCCAAGCTGCCAATCTTTTTTCAAAATTTTCAACCACTGGATTTCAGAACCTACTTTCCTTTGGGTTTGCACCTAGAGGAAGTCCTAGGTAGGAAAGAGGCCACTGAGAGCAAGTGCGATCTAACAAGGCTGCTATAGACTCCACCTCCTCTCTATTCAAATTAACCCCCACAACACAACTCTTCTCAAAATTTACCTTCAAATTCAAGGTCCTCTCCAAGTGAAGTATTAAGTCCTTCAGATTCCTTACCTCTGTCAAATCATAACGTTTGCAAAAGATTATTATGTCATCTACAAATTGGAGATGGGTTACTGACATTCTGTCTCTACCTATTCTCCACCCTCTTAGAAATCCGGCTCTATCCACTTCTAAAAGGAGTCTATTAAAAGCATCGGCAACTAAGGTGAAAAGGAAAGGTGACATGGGATCACCTTGTCTCAGACCCTTACTAGCTGGGAAAAAATCGGTAACTACCCCGTTGACTAGGATGGAATAATGGCAACTAGAGAGGCAACCGTTTATCCATTTGCACCACTTATCCCCAAACCCACACTTCCTTAGCACGAGTGATAAGAATCCCCAATCCACTAAGTCATAGTCATAGGCCTTTTCAAGGTCAAGTTTACAAAACATAACCTTTACGCCCCGATCTCCTCATCTCCTCCACACATTCATTTGCTATTAGAATCTGATCTACAATTTGTCTCCCCTGAACAAAAGCTCCTTGCACTTGGCTAATAAGACAAGGAAGTACCTGCTTTATCCTCAAAGATAAGACTTTTGCCACAATCTTGTAAACACTAGTCACCAAACTGATAGGTCTAAAGTCCTTTGAATGCTTGGCCTTTTTCTTTTTCGGAATTAAGGCTAGAAAAGTAGCATTAATTCCCCGACTCATCACTTGATTATTCTCAAATTCCTTGAAGACCTCAAATAAATCTTCTTTTACTATGTCCCAACAATCTTGAAAGAAAGCCATTGTAAACCCATCTGGCCCTGGAGCTTTAGATCTGTCCATGGAAAAGACAACTTTTCGAATTTCTTCCTCCTCAAAATTCCTTTCCAGCCAGCTTCTACTCTCTTCTAAAAGCCTTTGCCAGGTCACATCTTCCAACTCCACTCTAGGACTTAGAGGTCTCCTCAAGATGGATTTGAAATGGTCAACATAAAAAGTAGCTATCCTCTCTTGGGTATCAAAGACTGTTCCATCCACTTCCAGTTTGGAAACTAGGTTTTTTATTCTCCTTCCATTGTCTAAGTCATGAAAAAATTTAGTGTTCCCATCTCCTTCCTTAATCCACTTACATCTAGACTTCTGCCTCCAAGAAATTTCTTCTCTCAAAATAATTTCATTTAACTCACTTTTCAAATTCCATCTCCGATCTCTATCCTGAGGTCTTAAGGCTCTTTGGGATTCCTTCATATCCCAAAATGCTCCCTATTCCAATCCTTCACATATGCTCTCAATCTTTTTAGTTTTTTATGGAATCTTACCCCTTTCCACTTCACCCCCCTTAGATCTTCTCTCCACCATTCTCAACCTTCTTCACGAAGTCCGGGTGAGTCAACCACATGTTCTCTAATTAAATAAATTAGAAACTCTATCCATGTTTTTTTCTATTTTAATTTCTATTTTGAATATTTATCATATAAAGTTAATAACCTTCTTTTTTTTAAGCAGGTGATGTATTGAATTGTATTAAAGTAAAAAGTAACAGCCCATGTACAATGAGAGCCTGTACAATGGGAATATACAGTGTCAACAAAAGAAAGGTCCAGCTTGCAAAAAAGAGTAAAGCTGGACACCCCTGAATGCCCTTTGTACACTTAACCAAGAACACAAAAAGCCTATAACCTTGTTTTTCACTGAAACTACATCAGAAAAAAAATGTTATAAAAAATTGAACTGTTCCTTTCCTTCAAGAGGGCCCGAATCATAGCCGAACTCCACAGCTGGGAGGAGAAGCTGCAATGAATGGTTGGAGGTTTCAGGAACTTCATTGCATAGAGGGCAATAGGATGTTTGGTAGGAGCATCCCCCTTCTGAGCAGCCAACCAGCGGTAAGCCATGTACCCAAAACAGCAGTCCAAACCATAAAGGAAACCTTAGAAGGGGTATGAGAATTCCAGATCTATTAAACACCCAAAACAGCAGTCATAACCTTCTTTATCTGCTAATTGATATGAAATTGCTCTGTTGAATACTTATTATAGTAGTATTATTTTTAAAAATAATGAAATTAATAAATGTAAAAGATTTTTATCTTTTAGATGTGATGATTTGCCACATTTTTAGAGGAAATTTCATGTTCTTAATAAAGAAAATTGCTATTTTTTCAATTAATATACATGCCAGATGGTATATAAAACTAGGGAAGTAGCCAAAAGATTTTATATTATAAAATTTTTATCGCCCAGGCAACTAGCAACTAGGCGCCCCAACGTCACCCAGAATCGCCTAGATGCCTTGAAAACTACGACACATCAAAAGTGAAAAGTCTTTAACCCTTCAAAAAGAGAAAAAAAAAAAAAGCTGTCCAGTTAATGCATGTTTGGGGCAATGGTTTATTCATGGAGTGTATAACATCTCAGCATCCAGACAGATTAGCATATCTTCCATGTACTATATGCCCTAGGCTGAACAATATTTCCAGAAAATATTTCAGGTTTGTTTCCCTTTACCCTTTTATACCAAATATCAATTACAAGGTTAAGATCCCCCTCCCCCCAAAAAAAAACCTCCCCAACACACAAACAAAAGGCTATGTATGTAATAATGCAAAATAAATGAACAAGTCAAACCATAAAATAAAGATTACAAGAAACAAATAATAAAGTCAGAAACACATAAACACATACAAGAAGAACCAAATCCAGATTCCAAAATGAACATAGAAAATCTAGAGAAAAAGGAGCACAGTATTTAAAAGAAGAATAATGGCAAAAATCAACTAAGCTTCCAAGAACATGAGCTGACAGTTACCAACAGAGAATAAAAAAATGCACAAGTAAAACTAGAATACATGGAAGAAATACTAAACCCTGAATGAACATGGACTAGAGTTTGGGTGGGGACATAGGTATAGCAGGTAAGGGTGGCAGTAATCAATTGAGCTCTGAAGAATGATTTGGTGTTGCTGCAGAGAAAAAAGGATTTGACCCACAACTTCTTAGATCTTGTAAGAACAAAGGAACCTGGTAATTATAAATGTTTCTACACAAAATCTTAGTACACAAAAATTGGTATATGTAAATATTTTCAAGCCAACCTTCCAGTGAATCAAGTTACAAGCTTGGAATATTTTTAACTGAAGTGAGTAATTAATAGGAAACTTTATATACATTCTTAGACTAAAGAAAAATAGAACTACAATAGAATCATGTAAAAGTAATCATTTCAAGATCCTGAGAGGATAAGAACATGCACAGAACATGAAATAAAAGAAATAAATAGGGAAAAAACATAATAATCTAATCTTTGGGCACAACGACAAGCAAAAACATATACCAAAATCACATAATGCATCAGACAGAAAACAGTTCTCAAAATAGTCTTGGTTCAGATTCAAAGAACCAATACCTGAGTTCGAATTCCCGGATCTCAACAAGCTCTTTGCCACATGTGTCTGTCCACTGTACTTTCCTCCTTTCAGTACAACCAGGAACTTCTTTATCAGTTTCACCTAGTGTTGCATGTTCACCACTAGGTACCATAGCACAATTGGAAGGCTTTTTCAAGCTACTCTTGAGGTAGACTTTCGTTGTGTTCTTATCTTCGACGTGATACGTAATGCAATCCTCATCCTTACCAGAAACAGCATGCGGCACCGACAATACATCCTGTTGTTGTGCAGGACCAACTTTCAGAGGATAAGGGCTGTCAATTCCTGCGGATGGACGACGGAAGCACACAAAGGAAGCACATCCGCAGGAAACTTGGTTCTTCTGTGAAGCCAGCTGGAAGTCAGTGTCAGCTTCTTGCTCCACTAACTGGTACTGATTCCACGGTGAAACTCTCATGGGTCTTTCTTCGTTTTTTTGACCCAATAGAAGAAGGGTCAAGCCCTTGCTATATCCAGAAGCTGAAGAAGAGAAGAACCCTCCTCCCTCGACTGCTAATAACATCAGTTCTGCTCATCTGTGCACCAACAGAGATTTTCCATGCAGCTATCTCTTTCTACTACAACCTGGGCCACCATTCCTTCACCAAACCATAATCCACGGCCAGGACCCCTGTCAGAAAGAACAGGAAAAAAGGAAATTATTTGGTGATGACATGATGTTGTTAGGTAACCAAAATTGCCATTCCTTGTATTTCTCCACGAAGTGATCCAAAATTGAGTCTCCTAAATACAAAATATAAAACAAAATCCATATCATGAATGAACAGGCGGTCAAAACCAAATGAAGACGTGGGGGGAAGGTCCTTTCTTTAACTCTGAAACAAATTGTAATTGTTAAAAAATGAGCACAAAAAATTGCCAGAATACAACTATCATAGCAAAATAAAAGTTGAAAAACTGACATCCTAGCACAAGCAACTGCCTTAAATTTTGAAATCTCGGGAAATCTTTATTGAGGATTAAGATAAAGAGAAAATACTAGGACTGGCATCTTGTATGTTAAACCACAAATTATCAAAAGACTCGCCAAGGGATATTTTTCCAGTAATTCTGTCTTTATTTTTCTTTTAACGTCTATTCTGATCGATGTCTTATATATGATTCACTCAACTAAACATGGCATGAAGCATAGAGGGGGGAATTGTTTAAAAAGCAGAATAAAAATAAATAAAAAAAAAAATCAGAAGATAATAATCGCATAAGGTTGTTCAAAACCGGGAAAAGATGTCTCTTGGAGCATACCCTTACAACATAACATACCAGATTAACCGTGAAGGTCGTTTCCTGCAAACCAATCGATTAATCCCGAAAGGAAAAAGAGAGAACATAAGTAGAACCCACACCACAAAAAAAAAATATAAATTGAACACAACCCTACGAGGAATACAGAGAGAGAGAGAGAGAGAGAGAGAGAGAGAGAGAAAGTTAAACAATTATAAAGAAAAAAAATTAGAACACTTTTTGACTATTCGATAAACCCGTAAAATCACAGCAAGGATTAGCCTATTTCTGCAGAAACCAGCTAAAACTAATCCCCATTTTAAAAACAAACAGAAACAAAATACTATTTCTAGCGAACTCGTAACGAGAGCAATTGAAGATTCTTTACTTCTTTACCAAAATAACATATATAGATCTAAATAAGACAACTTTCAGATGAAACAAAGCATATTTGCTAACACGCGCTACTTCCAGCAAGAACAACTACAGCAACACAAAAAAAAAAAGAGTTTTAACTTTTAAGTTCTGAGAAAACCTACAGATCATTTATTCGCATTCAAAACGAACTCAAATTTGAACACCAAAATAAGAAAAAGCCAATTAGTAAAATTCAGTGATTCACAGAGCTTCATAAACCAGGACCCGATATTCGCAAAACTTTTTAAAAGTTCGAATATAAGAACAGCTGAAAAATCTGTACCTGAGAGAGACTATCAGATCTGAGAGTGATCTCTGGCTATTTAACGGTCGATCACATGCCGGAGAACCGGCGGCTCCGGTATTTCCGATCGTCTGTTGGAGAGAGAGAGAGACGGACGAAAGGAGAAAGAAGAGGAAAAGGGGAAAAAATAGTAAATAATAAAGAGGTAGGCTTTTATAAGAGAGTGGAAGGAGAACAGGATGAGTATATACTACCATATGGTATATTAATAAAGTGAAAGACAACGACCCGACGGCCACGGCCCTCTCAATTCCCTTTCAGGCCTTTCTCCAAAGAGAGAGAAAGTGAGAAAACAGAAAGAAGAGAATTCCAAAGTGGAAAGAGAAAGCTTGCTTTTGTTTGCTTGGCTTGCTTCTGCTTTTTCACTTTTCTTTGTTTCTAGGTTAAAATAATTAAAGTGTTGCCCACAGCCAAAAGGGCGAAAGGCAAAAGTTGTGACTGCATGGGTGGCCACCCTTTGAGAATTGAGACAGATGACAACCACTGGATTAGAACAAGATAGTGGAGCCCACTGGCTGAATGTTCCAAATTGATGGTTGGTTATTTGTTTCCCACTTTCCCTTGATAGAGAGCCTATGCTCTTCAGGGATGGTACAGTATAAACATGACACGTGGCTCACCGAGACAATGATGGGGACTTGGACTTCCTCCACAGCCACAGGTGGACCCCACCACCAAATTAAAAGTCTTGAGGTTGTGGGTGAGGACATGAGGGGGCCAAACCTAGCATGTTGGATATGGTGAACTGATGAGGATTTACACTCAGACCGACTGACACTTTAACCAGAAAATTTTTGTCTACGGATGTGGAAGGCTTTAAACCAGACCAGAGCCAGACCAGTCATTTTGACTAGAGGAGGACTATCAGGTGGACCCTTTCCACGGTTTCAAAAACACAGAAAGTGTTTGTGTTTTTTAGAAAACTATTAGTTACTCATTGGTTTAAAACAAATTTACGACTGAGCCAAAATATGTCTACATTCTTCTTTTCACGTACATGTATGTGTGAGCCAAAATATTATCCTTTCGTGTCTATGGCTCAGTTATAATACAAAATATAAAGTTTTGCATTTTACTTGTACTCCTTTCAAACTGAGCCTAAATTTCAAAAGATGGAGCAACTTGCTTAACTTGAGCCAAACAGACTTGATTCACCCGGTTGGCATAGCCACTTCCTTCGTTTAGCTTACTTATTATCATAGTTGCATCGATGAAAACTTTAGGGTTCATTTGTTTTATAGTCTAAATCGGAATGGTCCATTCCCATAGTTTGTTTGGTAGACGGAAATGGAAATGAGAATTGGAATTAACAGAAATGGGATTTTACTCCCAAGGGAAGAACATGAAAGGACCATTCCAATAGAAATGGGAATGAGATTCTGATTTTGCTTAACCAAACAGTTGGAATCAGAATAGCCCATTTCAACTCTGATTCTAAACCCCTATTCCCACGAACCAAACAAGGCCTTAATTCTTTGGATTTTGAGTGAATGATCCATTTTTTAAGGCCAATAATATTGCTTTTGCATTCAACTTTGATTGGCTGTCATTTCTTTTTTTTTTTTTTTTGAAATAGCCCTTAGGCATCATATTTCATTCAATCAAGAAATTGATACAAAAAAATGCTAAAAAGGCCAATCATAAAAACTAGAAACAGTTTATTAAGAGAACAAAATATAAAAATGGGTGAAGGAGAACATAAAGAATTTCTGCAACTGAATAAAGATGAATAAAAATCACCAACAGAAGTAAACAAGCACATCTCCAATCCACCACAAACGGCGAACGAATTTGACAATAGAGAATTCCAAAAGACTGCCTTTATCGGAGAAGTACAAAAGGAACTCACCATGAACTGCATCTGCCAAAGAAACACGAAATCATAGACAACAATCGTGAAGCTACACCCACCAGTAACGATCGCCCAATAAAAAGTCCAAGGGAAGAACCCCATGTCAAAACGCATATGGGAGGAAAATGGGGGGAAAGGAGAACCCAAATGGGAGAAACCAGAGAACAAAGCCTCGAGAAAACTCGAGAGGAAGCCTCTTGAGAGAGAGAGAGAGAGAGAGAGAGAGAGCCCGAAGGGAGCCACCCCAAAGAAAACCCAAACGATCACCTCCTTTCGAAAACCCTACTGGTTTCAAATTGTGATTGGCTGTCATTCAGTGCATGGTTCACCTACTGTTGTAATGAACTTATTGTTTTGATTTAGGATAACAAAGCCATGCAAAATCCTATGGAGAGTTAGTACTGATCTCAAAGTGTTAATTAAAGTATAGATTGCCAGCTTGAGTGTAGATCATGCTCGATGCTAAACTCCAAATTTCCATTTATGCGCTACAAGACTTGTTGCACCTGAGGTTGCTTCTAATCAAAGACTGCAATGTTTTGTTCTTCCCACAAACAATATAGCGTTGTGACTATATTTGTCAACAACGATTCCTTCATTTAGCTCATTCCACCATGTTTGTATAACACTTATAGTTGAGTTTCCATGAAGTTGATCTGGATTTAACCCCACCTCCCCCCTTAGCAGAAGTGCATTGAAGAAGAAGATGAAAACTATTATCCTCATAACTCCCACACATTGGACATTTGGTGTCTTGAAAAGCTTCCGTAGAACTGGATTCTATGAAGAACCCTGATTTTCCAAATTTTACTCCAAATCTTGTCCATACACGAGCTCGATGGTAAGGCTCCTCGAAAGGTTTTATGGGCTGACTTCATTGTAAACTTAAAAATTTCTTATCCTCTTCCACATCACCTTATCCCTTACCATTGTTGGATCAAGATTAATGTGATAAATTAAATTCCTCTCATCTAGCTCAAAAAGAGCATGTAATGAATCTTCTTGCCATTGCCTAATAGAGTCAAGGAGGTCATTAACTTTGAGCAGGTCCTTCTTAACAAATCCAATTTGCTTGCCTTTTCGGGTACCACCCACCACACCATGGGCAGGGGTGTAACTTGGGTGGGTCCAACCAGAGTCCAAACCGACCTAGCCCATAATTTTACATGAGCTAAGCTTAAATTTTTGGTATTCAGGTTGGGCCTAGGCCCAAAAGTTCAGGCTTTTAAAATTTTTGGGTTGGATTTGAGCCTAGCCCTTAGGAAGCTTAAACTCGGCCCAACCTATATGTGTGTGTGTATGTGTGTGCATAGATACCGCATGTATATCAATTTTTAGTGCGAGCTAATTGATCAATCTGAATACATCAAATTTTAGTTTAGATTGGACTTGGAGTGAATAGTTCAGGCTTGACCTTGGGCTTGGGCTTTAGGCCCAATTCTTAGGGTTGGCCTGGATTAAGATAAAAGCCAGCCCAACCTGCTCAACTTGCACCCCTAACCATGGGTAGTGGAAGGCTGAAACGTCTCTCCCTTAATTTCAAAAGTTGCTTCCACCAAATAGAAGCATCACCCTGTGCTTTGGCTTGCCAAATGCATTGCTTGTGATAGTATTTAGCCTTTATTACTGATGCCCAAAGGCAGTCTCTCTCATGCAGTAGTCTCCAAACCTGTTTAGGAAAAGGGAGCAAGGTTTGTTTACTTAAAATTATAAATTCCTAGTCCTCCTTGATCTTTTGGTCATGCCACTGTCATAGGGCACTACACTAGTCTCTTCTTAATTCATGCCTCTAGAAAAAGTTTTTGCCACTCGCACTAGTTCCACCATCTTAGATTGAGGTAATACCATTTTCATTGGTAGGCAGGTATAGCTTGCATAACTGCTTTGACTAAAGTAACCCTCCCTGATTGAGACGAGAGCAAAGCCCACCAACCCTCCGTACATTAAGCTGAGCAGATACATACAAAATACAAGGTTTTGCACTCTAAGAATTTGTATTTATCTTCTAAATTGAGCCTAATAAACAACTGCCTCATTAACTTCATTCCTAGAGCATACCTTAAGCATCTTTGATATCTTCTACGAACATTTGTATTAAATAACATGCTAGACTTTTGGTAGTTAATCTATTGATCTGACCACTCCTCAAATGTATCCATTCTCGCAATTTTCTCAATTGATTTATATTTGCTCTACTGAAAACAAGGCAATCATCTACAAATAAGAGAAAGATTTTTTTGTTGTAATCTTCTCTTAATTGAAAATTTACCATGTTTCTAACCATTTAATAGAATTGGGTAAGATGTCGAAGAAATATATTGATAAATCATATTACAGCAAGCAAAAAGGAAATTCATTTTCCTCATTGCAATCACCAAAAATGACCAACCCATCTAGTCAAAGGCCTTAGACATGTCTACCTTAATGGTAGTCCATCCCTTTTTACCTTTTTACTTTTTCACTTTTTCTTCATATAATTTTTATCTCATTGGAAAGTATTATGTTATGAGTTATTTGTCGACCACACAACCAATTTGATTAGGAGGAATTAGTAGGGGTGTTCACGGGTCAGATTGGGTTGGTTTCATGGGATTTTCCCAACCGATTCAACCTAGTCGGGTTACCAGAGGTGGAAATCGAAACCGACCCATTGATAGGCCAAACTGACCTGGTCGGTTTGAGTCGGGTTGGATCGGTTTGGGTCGGTTTCGGTTTTGCTCCTGTACAAAGCCGAATAAACTCTGAATTAGTTAAGGACTTGAGTTGAGGACTTGAGTTGAGGACTTGAGTTGAGGGGGGCGGACCAACCAAGTTAAGTTAGAGAATAGAAGATTTTAAGAGAAGACAAAAGTGGAATTAGAAGACTAGTAGTAAACTAGGAATTCTAATTGTAATTGCCTAATGTGCCTTCTAGTTCTA